GGTTTTTGTTGTTGCTGTTTGTTTTGTTAAAAATATCCCGATGCCAACATCTCTAATTATATCGTTTGTGAAAACACCATGAGAGAGAAATCTTACCTCACTTCTAACTCCATTCCTCCTGTCCAGGGCAGCCCTGTGCTGGGAGCTGGCAGGTACTCTGTTCATCTTTGAGTGACTGCCCTCCTCAGGAACTGTCACAAGGAGAGAGACCATGCTTGTTTTACTTAATTGCTAATAGCAACCAATAGCAGTGTGTGTACTTTTTCTCTTATTTGTTTTTATTGTTTGAGATTTCTTATGTGCATATAACGTGTTTTGATCAAGTCTAAACTGAATCTCCTCCCTTCCACTTCTCCTACCCACCCCCAATCCCCTCCCTTCCACTTCTCCACCTACCCACCCCCAATCCCCTCCCTTCCACTTCTCTTCCTACCCACCCCCAATCCCCTCCCTTCCACTTCTCCTCCTACCCACCCCCAATCCCCTCCCTTCCACTTCTCCTCCTACCCACCCCCAACAGACATTTAGAAGAAGGGTCATCTGTGTCACAGCACTGCCTCCTGCTTTCCTTCCATTGGAAAACTTCCAGGCGGGGCTGGGAAGATTGCTCACTGTGGGAAATGCTTGATGTACAAGCGTCGGGACCTGAATTTGATTCCCAGCACCGTGCAAAAGCCGCATGCGCATTTGTAATCCCGTCCCTGGACAGGAGGAGCCGGGGATCCCTGGGGCTCATTAGCAGCTAGCCTGCCTAGTCAGGGAGCCCCGTCCCAGTAGGAGACCTTTCTGGAGTAAACCTATGGTGCATGTGTACATGTGCTGGCTGTCTCTCCTCTCTCTCCTCTCTCTCTCTCCTCTCTCTCTCCTCTCTCTCTCTCTCTCTCTCTCTCTCTCTCTCTCTCTCTCTCTCTCTCTCTCTCTCTCTCTCTCTGTCTCTCTCGTTCTCTCACTCTCTATCTCTCCTTCCTTTTCTCTCTCTCCCATTTCTCTTTCTGTAATACTAACACACACACAGAAACACACACACACACACACACACACACACACACACACACACACACACACACACACACGGTACGGATCACATAGAAGCTATCCAGAACTTTCAGTGCTTTTGCTGTTAGAAAACACTTCCCTTTTGTCGGAGAGTTGCACGCCGGGAAACCAACAGCCTGATTCACATCTGGACCTTTTCCTTACTCCTGTATTAGTTATTCCTCTGTTGCTGTGAAAAAACACTGAGACCAAGGCAACTCACAGGTTTACAGATGCAGAACATCTGAGTCTCTTGTAGCAGAGACAGCAAGGTATCTGGAGCGGCAAGCTGAGAGCTCACATCCTGAAGAAGCACAAAGTAGAGAGAACCAACTGGAAATAGCACAAGCCTTGAAACTCTGAAAGCTTGCCTCCAACAAGGCCCCAACTCCTAAACATCCCCCAAACAGCACTACCAACTCGGGACCCATTCAAATACATGAGCCCACAGGGAAATTCACATTTCAGCCGCCACATTCTACTCCCTGGTGCCTGTAGGCTTGGGGCCATATCATAATGCAAAATGCAATTTCTTGATTGTAACCTCTTGTAAAATCAAAAAGCAATTTGTATATTTCCAACATATGCTGGCACAGAATATATATTGCCATTCCAAAAAGGAGAAATGGGACATAGTGAGGAAATACTGGGTGGGGTCTTGCCCTGAGGTCAGCCTTCCCTTTATTAAAATGCAGATCAGGCCCCTACTTCCTGGTGCCTATCTCCTTATCTCTTTCAGAACAAGTCTTAACGGCAACTATAGTTTTCTGGTGCTCTTTTTCTCTTTACATTGTACATTTTGTATTTCTTTCTTCCCCGCTTGCTATTTTTCATTGTAGACCTGCAAAGCAGTCATTAATAATAGCCATGCCACAGAGAGCAATATTATGCTGCTTCCACCAAAGAAAGCAGTCCATTTCTTTCTGATTTAGCCTCAGACAAATTCTTAGGACAACAGCAGGAAGAAGCCACATTCTCTGACAAAATATTGCAGGAACAGTCTCTGGGCCCGTTGATAATATTGTTCCTCTCTGAAACCTCTTGAGCTGGGCCCCCACACTCTGCATTGGCGTCAGCACTACTGTCTTCAAAGCTCCCACTAGAATGGCCCATTAAGCTCTGCTTACCAATTCAAACACATTTCTAGTCCGAAGTTCCGGAATCTTTTAGTATTCCTCCAAAAAACAATATGGTCAAGGTGTGAACGATGACACCCCACTCCTGGTACCAAATTCTCTATTAGTTACTTTTCTGTTGCTGTGATAAAACACTGTGACCAAGGCCACTTACAGAAGGAAGGGTTTGCTTGGACTTACAGAGTGTGAAGAGTGCATGATGTCAGGGAGGTCATGGTAGCAGGCAGTAGGTACAGCAAGCTGAGAGCTCACATCTTGAACAAGCCAAAGCAGAGAGATCCAATGGGAAAGGACATGAGTCTTTAAAGCCAGTCTCAAAACCTACCTCCATTGATATACTTCCTCCAACAAGGCCACACCTACTAAACACCCCTAACCAGCATAACCAGCCGGGGACCAAGTGATAAAATACATGAGGCTGTGTATCTGATTTTTTAAATTTGAAAGACGGAAATTCTCATTCAAACCGCCACACTCCTTTCTATGTCCCCATTTACTCATCTGCATGGGGAGACAAGCAATAGCACCTACTTTGTAGGATTGTTTTGAATATTACATTAGCTTCTGTCGGTGAAGTGTTGAAAACCATTCTATGATATGTGGGCTCAATAAATATGGATAAGATAGTGTGGTGATGGTCTCATCAGTAATGCCATGAAGATATAGCTCAGTGGAAGCGTGCCTGCTTATCATTCACAAGACTCAGATTTTGATGCCCAGCACCACAATTAAAACAATAACAACAGCAACAATAATAATTGTAATAGGATGATTTGTGTTGCATCATTCCAGTTGATTAAATCTTTTAGTGTTACTTCCTCCAAATGTCTGGAATAACTTCGTCTCTTTTCTTACTATTTTCACATTAAGTAATTTTTCTAAAACAAGGCTGATTAAGAAATACGATTGCTGGGTGTGATGGCATACACCATTAATCCCAGCATTCTGGACACAGAGATAGGTGGATCTCTGTGAGTTCAAGGCCAACCTGATCTACATAGAGTTCCAGGGCAGCCAGGATACAGTGAGATCTTGTCTCACAGAAGGAGGAGAAAAAGGCAATTTGAATTGATTCCTGCATAGTTTATATTTACTGTGAAAAAATAGTTTATATTTACTATGAAAAATTTAGTTCCATGAAGGTGATGAGTCAGTTGTTTTTTCTACGTCCATGTCAGATAAGGTTTTCTATTTGAAATATTTCTGTAATATTGTTCCCCATATTTGTGTATTTCTCATGTATTTTCTGGAGGAAAAATTAGTAAAATATTATTTGTCATTTTAAAGTCATAGAAAACTACTAAGAATGGAAGATTTTCTTCCTTGAAGGATTATTTTCATACATTTCAAGAGCTTGCTTCACATAGAGCTTAATAATATTTCTGTATGATTTTCTTTTTTACATGGTGAGTTCAGAAGTATGGGATTCAACGTTTCAGTTGTGAAGAATTATTTCTAGCTCTCTGTTAAGAATAAGTTGGGAGCCGGGCGGTGGTGGCGCACGCCTTTAATCCCAGCACTCGGGAGGCAGAGGCAGGCGGATCTCTGTGAGTTCAAGGCCAGCCTGGGCTACCAAGTGAGTTCCAGGAAAGGCGCAAAGCTACACAGAGAAACCCTGTCTCGAAAAACCAAAAAAAAAAAAAAAAAGAATAAGTTGGGGCTGGAGAGATGGCTCAGTGGTTAAGAGCACTGGCCTCTCCCGGATTCAATTCCCAGCACCCACAAGGCAGTTTACACCTGTCTGTAATTCCAGTGCCAGCGCTTCTGAAAGCCTCACACAGACATACATGTAGGCAAAACACCAATGAACATTAAATAAAAATAAATTACATACAAATTTTATGTATATGTAAGAGAGAGAGTGTGTGTATGTGTGTGTTAGGAGTAGAGAAATAAACATAAAACCTTTAATTATATTCCACACCTAAACTGAAAATTCAACAGAAATCTGGACTTTGGGCTGGAGTTAAACTACACATAAATGTGCTCATAATCACTGGTCTGTGAGCTGATTTTGTCCTTTCTGAGCTTTACAGCTGCGGAAATTCGGCTGGTCAAGAAGCTGCTTGTAGTTCCCTTTCTAAACTTCCCTTCGTTTTCTGTCTGGTTTCCGATCGTTCTGACTTTAAAAGGCAATTGTTGTTACAAATAAGGAATAAATATGGAAAATAGTGTAGGAGCAGTAGACAGGGTGTCTGGAATCAATCTCTCTCTCTCTCTCTCTCTCTCTCTCTCTCTCTCTCTCTCTCTGGCACTGGGGTGTAAGCTGGAGCAGGACAGAGCTGCTCTCTGAGTGACTTGTCAGGAAGCCACTGGCCTTAGGAATCGGATTGATGTTATTTCACTTTGATTCTCAATCCAACAGCCAACAAAAGCTTCACTACCAGCTTGATGGGATGAGTAGAAAAAATACATCTCTTGAATAGATAATGGTAGAAAATAAAAAAATTGAAAACTAAAAACAAACAGGAAATGAAGGACTTTTAAAAACACAAGGTATTTGGCTTGAAAGGAGTGCCGAGTTGATTCACAAACCTCCAGGAGAGCCACAAAACTGAATTACTTATTTAATAGAAACAGAAACAGAAAAAAAAGGAACATGGTTAGTCTATGTGACATGTTTGGTATTTCAAGGGTCTCCAGTGTTTGTCATGGTGATACGTTGTTGCAAAGATATCAGTTACAAAATGTAACTTTGCTGTGTGGTCAATATAGTGTGGTGACAGTGGCCTCTGCTCTCAGTCTGTCTAGTCTGACTTGTGTGTGGTGTGGAGCTGTGTGGTGGTAATTAGCCAGAATTGCTCACGTGTAAAACCCTCTGCTTTCTAGATTCTCGCCCGATGGAAGATTAATCGTGTCGTGTAGTGAGGATAAAACTATCAAAATTTGGGATACTTCAAGTAAGCAGTGTGTGAATAACTTCTCAGATTCCGTAGGGTAAGTTCATTCTCTGTACATGTATTTGGATCTGCTTGCTAAGGAGATCGTGTATTATAAGCAGCTCAGACTTTAAAATGAAGGTAAAGAAACTGAAATGTCAAGCCCTCATATTCTTTCTTCCTAGATTTGCAAATTTTGTGGACTTTAACCCTAGTGGTACATGCATAGCCTCAGCAGGTTCTGATCACACTGTGAAAATCTGGGATATCAGAGTGAATAAATTACTCCAGCACTATCAAGGTAACAGTTCCCCCAACCAGAGAGAAGTTTCACTGTCAAATGGCTGGGAAAAGGAAAGGCTGGGAAAGGCTTGTGGCTGGGTTTAGATCTCTTCCTGGGGTCAGAGGCTGGTCTTAGCTGGCTAGAGAACACAGCAGTTGACTCCCACCACCAGAAGAAACGAGAGGAGAAAGAAAGATACAAAAGATGTTCATTTTATGTTTTAATGAAAAGCAGAGACAGAAAATGTATTCAGTGTGGCCATGTCGGAGAGTGAAACAGAAAAAGGGCCCCTTGATCCGCACGTCAGTCTTGGGGAGCTTAGGAAGAACTGAGGCAGGATGCAAGGAGGTGTTCGTATTGAAGCAGTCCTGGCCAGGGCTTCCTTGTCTGAGTCTGTAAAGGAGGCAGAGACAGTTCTTTTAATTCCTCTGCTGAGGGGATGAATCTGCTTCCTACACTCATTTCGTTTCTGCCCCATGGTGAGGCTCGCCTTCGTGGATCATTATCCTCCTCTGGGAGATTGGTCTGTTCTGAGAGGTTTTGTTTTTCCAGGGGTCCAAGGTTTAGGACATGTATGTGTTTATGTGTATATTTTTAGCCATAGCTAAGGAGACAGAGAGACACAAAATGAGGGCAAAGATCCCAGGCTGTCAGTTTCTTGTGGCCCAAATAAAGAGCCGACATTTTAGCAAAAGCACCTTCTAAGCGCCCATTTCCGTTTTTCCCTGTGTTTAGATATTGCTCAATAATAAATTAGTGCTTGAGAAGAGAACAGGCGGTAATAACTGGGCATCCGTGTGAAATGAGCCAGATGTTTAAGTCTAAAAGTGGAAATCCTAATACAAAATAGGATACTAGCATCCAAAGCCAAAAAAAAAAAAAAAAATCCAATGAAATAAAATCTATAGGGAGACATCTTCCTGGCTAATTGCTCTGAGTATGGACTACTAAGAATGAATGGATGCTGGAGGAAGGAGGTGTCAGGCAACCATACTGAAGAACCATTTCTCTATAATCCCTTGACTGCAGTTGCATTTGGAAGGGCTCATATAGGCTGGCCCCAGTCATGACCCTCCTAAGTGATGGGACTGTAGGTATGTACCACCATGCCTAGCATGACTTTATTTTGACTCTGAAGACATCCCCCATTCGCTAGGAACAGTTTTCTCTGAAGGCATGGCTGTTTAATCATCTAGTGATTATCATAACTGTCCTTAGTCACTAGGCTGAGAGCTGTCCCTGTTGATCTGATCTGGTCCTGTGTCAGGTAGGGGAGGGGAGATGAGCTATGACAAGGAGCCAGTGTCAAGAAGGCTCCCTAAATGCCATCCTTCCCCTTTGGAGCCAAATTCAAGTAAATAAGAAGTATAGAAGGCCCTTAGGCTGGAATTCATTCTTAATTTAATTCTATCTGTCCTAATGGTGATAACCTGGCATCTTGATAATCCTTAGGTCATTTTGTTAGAAGATGTATTTATACAGAGTATTAGCAGACAACAGAAAAAACTTTATAAAGAAAATAGAAATCACTACCAACAAGAGCAAATATTTAAAGACATTTGGGATGAAAAATAAATACGTAGTAGGGTCATTTTTTACTGAGTTTGATTCTAAGTGCTTTGGACAAGAATCAAAACTGTAGGAACCGAAAGTCTTAGAACACTCATATTTAGAACGCTACAGGAAGTTGAAAAAATGAGACTGGGGCCTTGGGTCAGTGGTTAAAAGCACTTGCTGATCTTGTAGAAGACCTGGGTTCAGTTCCCAACACCCGCATGGCAGCTCACAACTGTCCACAACTCCAGTTGCAGGGGATCTGGTGACCTCTTCAGGCCTCTGTGGGCACCAGGCACACACAGTACACTTACATACATGCAAGCTTAACATTTTACACATAAAATTGTAAAGTAATTAAAAAGGAAGTCGAAAATTGACAAAATAGCCTTGGTAATTTCATTACATTCAATGTTACGATTGACAACATTATGACCATCAAGCTATCCTAATTCTCTTCTTAGAAATACATTTAAATTTGCATCCATTGAAAGAAGAATATAATTTATCAATAACAGGATACTTTTATATATAAGTTCTGCTTAATTTTGTCTTTTTTATAATTTTTTTATTTTTGAGATTATAATAAAATTATATTATTCTCCCCTTCCCTTTCCTGCCAGCATACCCAAACTTTAATGACATCTCCACCCCTCCCCCACTTTCTTTCAAATTGTCGCCTCTTTTTCTTTAATTGTTGCAGTGTGTGTGTGTGTGTGTGTGTGTGTGTGTGTGTGTGTGTGTGTTCCTAAAATTATAAATACAACCTGCTCAGTCTGTGTAATGTTACTTGTATTCGTACAACACAACTTCTCCTCCTAAGGCTCAGGGATCATTGCAGAAAGATTGTTGTAAGAGCCAGAGGAACAGGGAGTTTGCCGTGAGATTTTGTCTCCTAAATATGTGAGAAGCTGCATCCATGAAGCCTCACCAGTATGGCAGCCTAAACATGAGATGAACAAGGAGGACCCCAATAGACATGCTGACATGGAAAGACAGAAAGCTAAGAGGCCTCCAACCTAGATAAGGAACTTCAGGCAACTAAGGAATGTGAGAGTAAAGAAATAGTCTTCCCCAGGGAGGAGCACACTAATTGATTATTTGATACTAGATGGCCCTGAAAAATATATACATCGGAGTCATTTTGTCTTCTAAGAGTAAACAAAGGTTTTCTAAATAAAGTAGATGGACTTGTTTGGAGATATCCTCTGTACGTAGAGTTTTTCTGTGTCGCAGCACTGCCTCCCAAATAACCACAAGAGACTTAATATTAATTATAAATGCTTGGCCAGTAGCTCAGGCTTATTTTTAGCTAGCTCTAATAACTTAAATTAACCCATTTCTATTCATCTATGTGCTGCCCCAAGGCTTGTTTACCTCATGTACGTGCTTCCCATCTTGCTTGCTTTGTGTCTCGTGGTATCTCCCAAGACTCTGTTCTTCTCAGCATCCTCTTAGTCTGGCTTTCCTGCCCAGTCTCTTCCTGTCCAGCTATAGGCCAGTCAGTTCTTTAGTTACCAATGGGAGTAATATGTATTGACAGTGTACAAAGATTGTTCCACAGAGGTCCCCCTTAGATCCCCATTGTCTGTGCTTTTAAAGACTAGGGAAGCATGCTTGGAGGATATAATGGGAAATGTTCTAGTTAACTCTGCTTAGAAATGATAGTCAAAAAAAAAAAAAGAAAGAAATGATAGTCAAGATACAAGTGGGAACTTGTGAATACAAGCCTGGTAAAGGATTAGTACCACTAACAATTCTAGAGGGAGTAGGGGAGATGGCGTAGTGGGTAAAGTGTTTTCTGTGCAAGCCTTGAAGGCCCAAGTTCAGATCCCCAGGTCTCATAGAAGCCCAGTGCAGCAACATAAACATAACCCCAGTTCTGTGTGGGCAGAGATAAGAAGTCTCGCTGATGTGGAGATAAAGGAAGACTGGCCATCTGACGTCAGCCTCTGGCCTGGCACACTCACCCAGAGAACACACACATACACACAGTTCTAGTTTGGACGGTGGAAACTTAGTAAAGTGTTCTCAAGATTTCCCTTCTAGAACGCTTATCCATGCCGGGCGGTGGTGGCGCACGCCTTTAATCCCAGCACTCGGGAGGCAGAGCCAGGCGGATCTCTGTGAGTTCGAGGCCAGCCTGCACTACAGAGTGAGTTCCAGGAAAGGCGCAAAACGACACAGAGAAACCCTGTCTCAAAAAAAAAAAGAAAAAAAGAAAAAAAGAAAGCTTATCCATTGGAGGAACATAAATACATTCAACCTACCAAGGAGCCCATAACCACTAGCATCAGAGTTACACATTTCATCGATGTAAGTTTATCTCCTACTTCTGAAGCAATTTGGACTTTCTGACTTAGTAAGGTAATAGATCTGTAGGCAAAAAGTAAAATTGTAGATTGCTTACCAATTTAGGGCCCAGTGCTAGTGTCATAGACAGACTTGTCTTCTGATGTACATGTGCATCTCATAATCAAAAATCAAAATGCTTACTCGCCCAAGCCAAACAGATTATTACTTAAAGGAACATTTATTGGTCACTTCGAATGTATTAGCATGGTTTTTAAGTCTGCATTTTTCACATACTGTGTAGATGAAGTTATGACATACACTCTATGTCCAGACATAGACATATATGGTAGTAAATGTAATAGAATTTCTTTCAAATGTTAGTTATTTCTAAAGTGGTCACTTTAAAGGCTTTAACTCAACAAATACTTGAGCAGACCTTGACTTTGTTAAGACTGGGTCAGAAACCCTTACCATCAACAGGTTACTAAGAGCAGAACAATAGCTTTTTAAAGTCTTACTGCCTTAGATATAAAGAATTAGGTTCAAGCCTTACAACGGTACATTAACTTTTGGCCTTAGAAAACCCTCTAGACAAATTTATATTTTGAAACACCTTTCCCAAAAGCTTTTTGAAGTTAGGCAATTGTTTTTTCTTTTTGTTTGTTTGGTTTTTTTTTTTAAACTTTTATTGATTCTTTGTGGGTTTCACATCATGCATTCTGATCCACCCTTTGCCCTTGCAACTTTCTCCCCCCAAATCCAAAACCAAATTTAAAAGATAAACCAAAAGCCAAACAATACAAAGCAGAAATAAACAAACAAACAAAAACCACAAAAAATAAATGAGAAGAATCTTGTCATGGAAGCTGCAGTGTGGACCATTGAGTCATAGTTTACCCATTAGTCCATTCATCTTTACTTGCAAGTATTCATAGGCAATTGGTTTGTTGTTTTGTTTTGTTTTCTCTAGGATTCAGAATTAAACTGAGGGCCTTGTAATTCTACTACATCTCCAGTCCAAAAATTATTTCTTGATAAAATAAAAAAACCTTAGCCGGGCGGTGGTGGCACACACCTTTAATCCCAGCACTCGGGAGGCAGAGCCAGGCGGATCTCTGTGAGTTCAAGGCCAGCCTGGGCTACCAAGTGAGTTCCAGGAAAGGCACAAAGATACACAGAGAAACCCTGTCTCGAAAAAAAACCAAAAAAAAAAAAAATTAATTAATTAATTAATTTAATTTAATAAAAATAAAAAACCTTATGCCTTTTCATAGGTTTTTCATCTATATGGCTTAAATTCTTTTATATTTCCTAGATATAAAATTCCATGTATTAATTACAAATTTAACTCTAAATAATCTTTCAGCAAAGAAGCAAAGCTTCCAGAAAAAAGGAATCTGTTTGTTTGTTTGTTTGTTTTTTGAGACAAAGTTTCTCTGTGTTGTTTTGGTGCCTGTCCTGGAACTCACTCTGTAGCCTAGGTTGGCCTCGAACTCACAGAGATCCTCCTGGCTCTACCTCCTGAGTGCTGGGATTAAAGGAGTGTGCCACCACCACCCAGCAAAGAAAGCAGTCTTAATCTATTTCTCTATAACTGGCAATGTATAAAAACACAGTTGTTAATAGTTCAATTGTACTACAAATGAGAGCTGGATTCAAATTGGTTTTATGAGAGAATGAAGCAAAGTAAGATTACCTGCTTACAAAACTAAATGAAAAATGTGTCCTTCAAGCCTTATCTAAGCAGGCATCAACAGCTTGGTTTTAAAATCTTTCCCCCTCTTCCTTCAGTTCCACCATCTACATTGAATTCTTAAATGCTTGCATGTCAGGCCTTGCTAAAAAAGATCTTGAAAAGCTATTTTTTTTTTCCCTTTCAAAATAACAAAACAAAATGGCGGCAGCAAAGTAGAGAAGTGGGGGTGGGTGGGTAGGGCGGCAGACAGACCAGGCAGACAGCAACTGCTAGAAATATGTAGTCTGAAAATCATCACACAACACTCTTTTCTATACATTTCAAAGTAGACCTGCCAAGAATGGCAGTTTGCGTGTGTGGCCTTTTTTTTTTTGTCCCCATTTTCTTAGTCTTTTGACTAGAGGCTCATCTTGGAAGCCAAAGCGAGTACACAGATACTCAACAAGTATTGCGCCAGTAAGATGTAATATTTAATATTATTATGATTCCTTCTTAGAGTGTCACCCTGGACATGTCTCAGGAAGCCCCAACACGAAGGAGTGCAGTGTGGGCACCTCTTGGTTGAACTGTTGGGGTCCTTCCAAGCCACGAATGCACTTTGTGGTTCCCTATGAGACCTCAGCACAGCCCATGGCCTGACACCTCAAGACTCTAGTCCCCCAGAGCAGGCCAGAGGGAACATTTGTCTCTTCTACTCAGTTCGTTTCTAACTGGACTGTTGCTGTAGCCAAGTAGTTTTCAGTCTCCGTTAAGGCAGTCATCATGGACTCCAATGGAGTGAAAATAATATGGCACACAAAAAGAGTTTACGTGACTCACAGTGCAATCTTAGGTAAGCCACCAGAAGCTACAAAGGACAAGTGAGAATACTCCCTAAGGGTTCCAAGATAGGACAAACTTCATATTCCATGGTGATACAAACTACACTAAGATATCCCAAACACTGCTATGTCTTGGTATACCTTATATCCACTCTCTACTAGTTACCAACACAGAATTACGGAACTCGGCCATCCCTATCATACCGGAAAATCCCCAAAAGGTTTAAAGACTCTGTAGTGGCTCAGAAGATAAGGGACCGCAGAAATTCAAACCAGTTCAGAAGGAACCCAGACAGCTCCAAAGCGCCTCCGAACTGACAGGGGAAAGAAAGGGCGGGCTCAAGTGCACTGATTGGGAGAGATTCAAGGGCCTGAAGAGGCCAACCACTCCTCTCTCCAGCTCGCCAAATCCAAGCAGAAAGCAGCTGAACTCAGCCACAGTGGAGAGATCAGAAAAGTTCCCGGAATAAAAGTGATTCAGCGGCTGTGGGGACCACCAGGCTCTCCCCTCCATCCAGGCTTGATGAGCTTGAGGGGATGATGCGAAAAAGGTGTCATTGATCCTGATTCAGCTTGACAAAGTTGTACCCAGAGATTTTAGGGCAGAAATGTTGGCCCTGGCAACTCCTAAAAGCTCACCTTGGCCACACACCCCCAGTATGCCAATTAAAGAGAGAAAGAATGCTGAAAAGCACAGTCAGATATAGTCAATGTGGCCACATTGGGAAGAGGAATAGATAAAGGGGTCTGGTGTCATGCCCCCCATCCCATCCATCTCTTTAAAGGGACTTTAAAACTGACGTGGGAACCGTAAAAACAAAGTTACTATGGTAGTTTTCACGCTCTGGTTGCCTGCTCAGTGGGAGAATCAGTAGTTGATGTAATCCCAAATGAATGGGAATAGCTAACTTGGAGGAAACCAGCTTCCTTCTGTGTGAATGTACTAAAGCTGGAAGAGAAAGAAATGGTTTTCTAGGTTTATATTAGCTCTATATTAAATCTACATTATTGTGCATGAAGATAATCTCTACCACTTACTCCATGATTTCTATGTAGCAGATAAACAAGTCAAGCCTTATACAGTTCCTAGTAGGCATCATTACTTCTTTTAGTTTTAAGGGTAAGAAAACTGATGGAGTAAACTTAAGACTGTGGGACATCGTGTCTAGAAACCATACGTTTTTGATCACTATGTTGTACTGCCGCCTATTGGAAGGACGGTGTCCAGAAGTGAATTCTCCTTCACATATGCCTCCACACTCACCACTCAGTAATCCCAAGTACCCAGCTGCTCTTTAAATTTAATGTGAGGCTGAATTACAGAGCTTATACGAACTGATAATAATCAGCTATTAATTATTTTGATAATATAGCCAAAGACTTTATAGCTGTGTGCCCAATAATATTCTCTTTGTGACATGCTCTCATTTCCATGTGATTCTGTCTCTAGCTGGAAGCTTCATGCCACATGATGTTAGAACATTTAAATGCTTTGGGGAGCTCTGGCTTTGCTGTGACAGAGAGGCTGCCTTGACCGATCCTGTCTTCACAGCAATGCTGATACCAAAGCAAAGGAAATGCTTCGAACTTAAGAATCCTTCTCTGACAACATTGAAGGCCAGTTATATCAAATTACAGTTACGATGTTAAAGACATCATAAAAAAAAAAAAAAAACATTGTTTCCTGAATTTTTTGTGTTTTTTCCCCTACAAATTAGTTCACAGCTGCGGTGTGAACTGTCTGTCATTCCACCCTTTGGGTAACAGCCTGGTCACTGCCTCTTCTGATGGAACACTTAAGATTCTGGATCTCCTAGAGGGAAGACTCATATACACACTTCAAGGACATACGGTATCAACACTAAGATTTCTGTTTTGTAATAAGATACTCTTTAAAGTTTGGTCCCATTTGTTATATGCCTTTATTAGTTTTGTTTTGTTTGTTTTTTTTTTTAGTAGTAATGTACATTTGCTGCTACTCCTAGAATTTGATTTTTTACTTTTAAGTTTTAGGGTTTTTGTTTGTTTGTTTGTTTGTTTTTTTGAGACAGGGTTTCTCTATATAGCCCTGGCTCTCCTGGAACTCTCTCTGTAGACCAGGCTGGGCTTGAATTCACAGAGATCCACCTGCCTCTGCCACCCGAATGCTGGGATTAAAGGCGTACGCCGCTTTTTAGTCTCTAGAAGCAACTCTTAAAAGTAATATTTATTGCAACTCTTCAAAAACAATGACTTTAGCCATTGTACTGTTCTGACCGTGGGTATCCCAGGCTATAGCTTCGATGGAGTATATTTCCCTCACGAGGATGCTGGCTCACTACCTCTGACACCCAGCCCCTCCCTCCTCTCCCCATCCCTCCTTTCCTAATCTGTTTGGTGAGTTTAGGGAAATTCAGCAATCGGAGCCTAACACCTGCTCCCCTGCCCTTGCCCGGGAGCCTGCTCTTGCCCAGGACCTGGCCCTTACTGTTTTCCTCTGATAATTCTGTGCAAAGACTTGTCCTTACTCAGTGTGGCCTGTCACTGGGCCATCACACCTGGCTCCTTCTGGATATTGTTTCTAGAACGCCCACTTGCCTCCCAGATAAGCAATATTCTCCTTTTAACAAACTTACTGGAGAGAACTTTGTATTGGCTCTGGTATTCCTTATTTTTTTGTCTTATTTCTCAATTGGTTTAGGAAAATATTGATATTTTTAAGTCTGTAAACTTCTCTTATGGGTAAATATTCAAACTTGTAAACTTTTTAGAATAAATTCTTTGTTTTCTGCCTTATACACTGGGTATTTTCTTTTAGGTGAATATAAGCTGTTCATAGCTCAAAATAGAATGGCTTTGTGGTCTGGAAAGAGAAAGGTTCTTTCTGCCCCATCTGTCCTGCCCAACTTCCTCCTCTGTTCATTTCTTCTACAACAGAGTTAGGGCAAAGAGAACCAGCTCAGTCACATGCAGACATGTGCGTGTTGCACGAATCGTAATTGGCCTTATTAATAAAAACCTGGAGCCAGATATCAGGGTAAATGTTGAAAGATGAGAGAAGGAGAGCAGCCAGCCACTGGAGTTCTTACTTCTACCGAATCCTCAGACTGAATGCCTCTGAATCCTCAGCCAAAAAAGCGCCCAACTCCTGTCTCCTCCTGCCTTATATTCCTTTCTCTGCCCAGCCCTATCACTTCCTATCTCAACCTTCCTAGTGCTGGGATTAAAGATGTGTGATCTCCAAATACTGGGATTAAAGGTGTGTGCCACCACTGCTTGGCTCTGTTTCTCTTTTAGGCTTGATTAATCTCATATAGTCCGGGGTGGCTTTGTACTCACAGAGATCTGATGGATCTCTGTCTCCCAAGTGCTAGAATTAAAGGTATGTGCCACCACTGCCTGGCCTCTATGTTTAATCTAGCGGCTGGCTCTGTCCTCTGATCTTCAGGCCAATTTTATTTGTTAGAGTACAAACAAAATGTCACCACACGTGCATTTAGGGAAAATAAAGACAGTCAATAACAATGGCTAAGGGTTGACACATCTGTAAAGTACTACATAATTAGGGAAACAGCACAGCATTTAGGAGAAAAACGATGCACACAGATGACATTGCCATCTAGAAGTAAAGGTGTGTATGAGCTACAGTCTAAGTCTGTAACAGGGCTCCTGGTTACTTTCCTGTTGCTCATAAGAAACCCTGGCAAGCAGCTGAAGGGAGAAAGGTACTCCGTTACAGTTTCAGGAGGGGTGGTCTACAGTAGTCGGGACATCAAGGCAGCGGGGACCTGAGGTCAGCCTGTCACATTGCGCTGCTAGTCTGGAAGCAGAGACAGAGAGACTATGAAGTGGAACCAGGCTATAAAACTATGAGGCACACCTGTAGTGACACGCTTTCACCCTCCTGAAGACTCCATACCTTCCCAGACAGCACTACCAGCTGGGAGTTAAGTGTTCAAGCATAGAAACCTGTGGGGGCATTTCCCCTTAATGCATAACACAGGTGTATGTGAGTAAAGCAAGAGGTTCTCTCCAAACCTTTGTATATTAGTTTAAGTATGTGTTAAAAAAAAAAATAAACAAACTTGCCGGGCGGTGGTGGCGCACGCCTTTAATCCCAGCACTCGGGAGACAGAGGCAGGCGGATCTCTTCCATCTCCAGGAAAGGCACAAAGCTACACAGAGAAACCCTGTCTCGAAAAACCCAAAAGTAAATAAATAAAAATAAAATAAAATAAACAAACGTTAACATTTCAAGATGAGGAATAATTCCTCCAATCTTGATGGACTGAAAGGTTATGCATCTTGATCTCATGCAAAGTGAAGATGTCCAACTTCAGGGGAATTGTTGAATTTTAAGTGCTTATTATCTCTCAGGAGATGAGAACTTCCCCACCGACCTCCAGCTGTTCCCGGCTGCTCATCGCCATGGTTGTACTGCTGACTTTTCCTACTTGACGCTCTCCTCCTGTCCCGTTCTTAAATTTTTAGTGGCTCCCAGTAGCCTGCTTCAGAAGAGAACGCCCAGTGGGGCCTGATATGGTCAGGAAATGACCTGTGTTCATGTTCCCTCAATGCCATCGCTTCACATTTATTGTTTAGTTTTTATTAGTAATTGGTTAAATACAAACCAGAAAGCTAGAAAAGGTTTGACAGAAATTCTTACCAGCTTATACATGTGCAAACTCTTCTTAAGAGGAGAAAACGGCCGTTCCTCTTTTGTTTGTTAACACTGTGTTCTACCATACTTGGGTTGGTTCTGTATCTTCACTCGGCCACCATTCATTGTTAGCTACTGGATGCGCCCATCGGACACTAGTCACTGGGTGACAAATTAGAACGCAGAAGTGGCACTCAGTCCTGTTGGCCTTGAGAAAAGAGCTCTCAACACTCTTCTCTTTACTCCCCTTTGTCTCTTAGGGACCTGTCTTTACTGTTACATTCTCCAAGGATGGGGAGCTGTTTACGTCAGGAGGTGCGGATGCGCAGGTCTGTACACCTTTGATTTGGATCCAAGGACCTGATTTACATCTTTAGGACCCTCATCACTAGCTAGCCTGTGCATGTTGAGATGATTACCAGTGGGTTTTTATGTTAGTGTCCTGTTTGCTGTCACATAGCTGAAATAGTTCCAGTTGAATAGTTTTAAGAATTCCGCAGGTATTTTCTCTTGCTCTATTTTAAACTTAACAATACATTTGGTTGACACTGAATGCCCAGTTTCAGTGCCCTCTTACCCCAATTATTGCCGAAGATTTTGTCTGTACTTCCTATTTCTTCAAATGTTGAGCTGCCTGAGGGTTATAAATCAAAATCATTGATGAGGCAAATCTACATTTATATGAGATGACCAAAAATCATTCATAGCCAGGTTATTGAATAAAATGAATGATCAAGTCAAAAGCATGGTGTGGGGCTTTTAGTGAGGGGCAGAGAGAAGTGTTTTAAGTTTATAAAATACCACCTAAGTAAAAATTTTGTTTGGTTTGGTGTAGTTTGAGTTTGGGTCTGGCGAGTATTTTTGAGACAGGGTCTGTCTCACTGTGTATCACTGGCCTGGAACTCACTAGCTAGGCCAGGCTGGTTTCAAACTTATGATGTTCCTCCCAGCTCTGCCTCTCAAGTACGTGTCCTACACACCCAGCTCAGAGTAGACGTTTTAAGTTGGGCATGAAAGCAGTTCAGAATGTTACAGCTCCTCCCTGCCATGCCTAAAATATTGAAGAACAGTGATGGACATGTGTGTCTCTACGCACAGACGTTCTGACTGCTCAGAACAGTTTTTGATGTTTGGCTTTTTAAAATCAGCTCTGTGGTTTCAGATGCTGGCCAATAACTACCGACACCTTTGACTCTTTGTAGGTCTTGTTGTGGAGGGCTAACTTTAATCATTTGCGCTGTAAAGATCCTAATAAAAGAAACCTCAAAAGACTGCATTTTGATTCCTCACCACACCTTCTCGACATCTACCCTCGATCACCACATCCCCATGGAGAGAAAAAGGAGACTGTTGAAGTGAGTATGTTGTACTCATTTGTCCTATGTTTTATGATCACTGTAAGGCTATTATGGAATCTGGTGCTTAAAATTATACTGATTTATATAAAACCTGGTCCTGCCCCCGCCCCCGCCCCCCCCCCCAAACAACAAAGCTTTGAGAAAGTCTGTTTTTACTACTAAAATAAAACCATAGGTGAACAGTAGTATGTATAGTACGGATAGCTCTCAAATTTGCTTCTTGACAGCTCAGAAATAAAGCTACACATTGTGTTGGCAGGAATAGAAATGAGAAATCAGGGGGCTGGAGAGATGGCTCAGAGGTTAAGAGCACTGGCTGCTCGTCCAGAGGTCCTGAGTTCAATTCCCAGCAACCACATGGTGGCTCACAACCATCTGTAATGAGATCTGGTGCCCTCTTCTGGCCTGCAGTCATACATGCTGTATACATAATAAATAAATAAATCTTTAAAAAAAAAAAAAAAAAGAAATGAGAGATCAAGTCTAAGGCTGCAGAGTCTGAACTTGCTTCCTAGCGGTCACCTGGGGAGAGAGGTAGTTCGGTAATAGGACCGAGGGGCACGCGCTTGTGTGCCAACTAATGAAACAGGATTCCAGAAACCTTTTATAGCCAACCAAACTAGCAAATCTACCTATAGACATTTAAAGAAAATATTATTTAGCATTAAACAGAGTAATTGAGGCCCTATTAATGATTGAGACCATATTGCTGCTTGCTTTTACACATACACGTATGTGTGTGTATGTGTGAATGTATGTTTACCTTTCCAGGCCTGCAAGATGGCTCAGTGGGTAAAGGCACTTGCCACACTAAGCCTGACGTGATCTAAGTTCAACCCCCAGATCCCACATGGTGGAAAGAGAGAACTGATTGCCACAAGTTGTCCTCTGGCTTTATTTCACACACACAACCACGCTTCCTAAATGAATTCATTTTTGTAATCGTTTACCTTTCCAGGAGTGGTTTGTTGGGTTCTTGCTTTAAATACCATGCTGGTCTTAAACTCAACAATAATCCTCCTGTCTCAGTTTCCCAAGTGCCAGGATTACAGGCATGAGCCACTATTCGAGTCTTGTTATCATTTGTTGAATGGAAGGCATTTGTTGATGTAGTCTCTTTTTTTAGCCCATCAATGTAAGTTTTCTCCCATCAATGAAAAATCCATTTTGGCTGAATCCTCAGCTCATGTTAGGCTTCTTAGTTCATCTTTTACAGTTCTTTCAAGTCCATTTCTGTTCCAAGAGCAGATATCAGAAATCACGATTTCCCTGCTCATTTGAGTTTGGTTTTATGTTGTTACAGAGCTTTGACTTTAGAGTAGTTATTTTGCTTTCTTATATTTTCTTGTTGCTTTGGTTTTTGAGACGAGGTCTCCTGTAGCTTAGACTGGCCTTGAACTTACTTTGTAGTGGAGGATGACTTTGAACTCCTAATCTGTCTACCACTGTTTCCCAAGTGCTGATCCCCGGCTGCTAAGCACGGAGACTTTATCTGAATGCAGTAGCCCAAGTGATGCCCCACCTCAGTCCCCACCTCAGTCATTCTTAGGGCTGGTTTCACCACTCTTGGTCGTTGTCAGGCCTCTCCACTCCTCTCGCTTGAAGCATCCACACGTCATGCTCTGGGTGTTCTCGCTGTCCTTGCTTGTTTTGAAACACGGCTCTCAATGCTCGCTCACACTGACTCGGAACTCCTTATCCCCAAGTGCTGGGACTTCCACGTGTTCACCATCACACCTAGGTTCCTTCTTAAATTTTGTCTAATCCAGCTGAATTTGGGAATTTCATATTTTGTCATTGTTATGCATGTGTGCGTGCATGCATGCACTTGTGTGTGTTTGATGCCGTGGATCCAGGTCAAGGCCTCTTATATGCTACAAGTGATCCACCTCAGAGCTATATTCCTAGCCCTCATTTTTCCATTCATTCTTTGAACGAAGAATATAATTTTTAAAAGAATTATTTATTCTTATTTCATGTGTATGAGTGTTTTGCCTGCATGTATGTGTGCACCATGTGCACGCAATGCCCTTAGAAGCCAGAAGAGGGTGTCAGATCCCCTAGAACTGGAGTTATAGATGGTTGAGAGATGCCATGTGGGTGCTTGGAATCGAACCCAGGTCTTCCGGAAGAGCAGCCAGTGCTCCTAACCACTGAGCCATCTCTCCAGCCGAAGAATGTAATCTTTTATCTTTTTCCTCAGTTGTCACAGTTGTTAAGTTGGCCTTCTGTGGTCAGATAGAACACAGAATAAATGTGGAGATATATACATTTTCCTTGAGTGTCCCTTTCTTGTGTTACCAAAGTAAGTTTGTTGGCCCTTGGTGGCTTTTACTTTAGCATTTCTATGGCTTAGCTGGGCCGGATCAGGATAAAGAAACCCCTGGCCATGTCATTTACATGGCACTCACCCAAGTGACTTGTGCGGTAGAGCTACGGCTGAGTGATATTTACCTGGCGTTGTGCTCTCCAGGCCCAGACAAAAAAACAAACCATTTACTCCGGTTTACTGTTAGCTCGGGTCCATTTAGCAGAGCTAGACTTTAAAATGTCAATAGGGTGACTGAGTAGCTTGTTCTGACTCTTTAGTGGAGAGCCCTGAAGCCACCCAGGCTCCTTTATGTGATCCGGTCAGGATGACCCAGACTGCACAAAGACTCTCCCGACTACTTTTCACATGGGCACTTGCATTTCTATTAAAAACTGTCTTTTCATTATGGAACTAGAGGCCAGTGACACAGCACAGAGTGCAGAGAATATGCCTGAACACTTTGTGTGGCCTGGAGGAAGTTGGCCTTAGGTATCCAGTTTAAATCACCTCTAGATATCAGCTGTTTGAGTTAACTGTCTAGTGTGACTGACTTTTGTAAAACACTTTCCAATGCTGTGCCAGAGAAGTAAAAGGATTCTGCAATTAAACAGCCAATCATCTCGTTTTTAAAATAAGCTCACAATAAAGCAAAATATAATGCTTTTTTGTAGAAAGCGTATTTTCAGTGTTATAAAAAAAAAATAACTGGGCTGGGCAGTGGTGGCGCACGCCTTTAATCCCAGCACTCGGGAGGCAGAGCCAGGCGGATCTCTGTGAGTTCGAGGCCAGCCTGGGCTACCAAGTGAGTTCCAGGAAAGGCGCAAAGCTACACAGAGAAACCTTGTCTCGAAAAACCAAAAAAAAAAAAAAAAAACTGGGTATCAAGGTTTTGAGTTTTTTTGTTTGTTTGTTTTGGTTTGGTTTTTGATTTTTCAAGACAGGGTTTCTCAGTGGAACTAACAGCCATAGCCATCCTGGAATTCCCTTTGTAGACCAGGCCCGCCTCTGCCTCCCGAGTGCTGGGATTAAAGATGTGCACCACCATGCCCAGTTATCAAGAAAGTCTTCAAATTAATGAATATAGATCCTTCACAGAAAGAAAAATACTGTTTAATTTAAAACTAAAACTTCATGTAGATGTAGTGTAGATCAGGAGAAAATTACTATGCTCACTTTAAATTATGTTTTAAAATACTTGATTCTGTGGGTTACAATTTCTTTCAAAGTTTTAGGGAGGTGGGCTTACATTACTTCAGAAATACTTTAAAACTGAAAACATTCTGAGTGTTCAGAATTTAAAGAAAATACAAAATTATTTTTAACAAAAAGTATTGAAGTAATTTCTCTTCTTGTAGTAGCCAAGATTGTTTCATTTTTGAGTTTGGAGCAGTTTCGGCGCCCTATGATTTATATTTTTATTATGTTTTCTTAACCTTCTGCATGAAGTTGTTTGGCCTTTGCAAAGCCCATCAGCTTGCCGGCTTGTTTTGTTTTGTTTTTTGGAGACAGGGTTTCTCTGTGTAGCTTTGGAGCCTTTCCTGGATCTCACTTGGTAGCCCAGGCTAGCCTCGAACTCACAAAGATCCGCCTGGCTCTGCCTCCCGAGTGCTGGGATTAAAGGCGTGCACCACCACCGCCTGGCCTTAGCTTGCCAGCTTTAACTGCCCCATTTGTATGAAGGTAGGGAACCGTGCACAGTCTCAGGTGTGGAAATTACTAATCCTTACACCAATAAAGCGGTGACAGCCAAACTGCTCTGAGAATACACCAGAGGAAGAAGGCGTGGCTCGTAGAAACCTTGCGGTGTGGACATCCCTCCTGCGGCCCCCTCCCGTGGTCTCCTGACAGACATGGTGCTGAAGCAGTCCATCCTAATTAAAATGAAGCCCAGAACAGTGTCTTTCCATGATGTTGGGAAAGCGCCATGTATCCAGGGGTCTTCACCTAGTTCATATACGTTAGGAATAGTAGTCCATGTCAGCCTCACCAGCTGCCACAAGAGAGAACTGCATTGTACCGCTTCAGGAAAAACAAAACAAAACAACTTTGCTTTCACAGGGTGGTCGTGATTTGCATAACATTTGCATAACACTGTCCTTTGTAATCTTGTCCCTTTCTGCATATTTAATGGAAAAAACAGAAGCATTTGAAGGGATAGATCCATGTGAAACCAGGGGATCAGATAGTTATTCTAGGCCTGGCAGAATGTTAGAAGGCACCGTACTTAAGTCAAAAGTATTAATAAAATCATTATCTTGATTGCTTTCAATTTCAAAGTGGCCACTTGAATATCACCACTCTCTATGAGTTGCATATGGAACTCAACATGTTATTTAGCAGGACAGGACACATCCTTTTATTTAACTAAATATTTTTTGATAACCTGACCATGATTCATTGTTGAAAATTCTGTTGTGATCAATGTAAAGCATGCTTATGCTGTTTTGACCTCAGTAAATATCCTGAGGTGCACATGATAATAATTGTAATAAGAATACCTAATGCCTGTGCAATACTTTCCCATGTCTTTACATAAATTATTTCATATTACTACAAATACAAATACTAAAAGTCAGTAATGTATTTATCCACATGAGAATTGGAGCGAGTATTAGCTGACCATGCTGGAGTTGCAGCCCTAGCCCTATGGCTCATTGGGCATCTTTACCCATCTATTGCGGTACTTCACTTTAATAAAAGTTAAAATCTGGCCCTGTCTCGGATACTGCTGGGGGTCCTAGCTTTAGGACCCATTCCTTGCCCGTCAGGAACGTCTAGTCTAGGGAAACATTACAGACTGCATTAGTACAGGGGCTGATGTTCTTGGACTCCTCGGTGTAGACCCTCAGAGCAGGGCATGGAGGGACCTTCAAGGTTCTACACAACCTTCTGCTCATTCATAAATCTCAGTTGTACCCCACTGTTCAGCCAATGAGAACCCAGCCTCTCAATCACACCCATTTCAAGGCAAATTGATTTTATGCAGCAGCAGTTTTGGCTACCATGTAGTAAAACACTTGTAGTTACATGCATTCTACACTTACAGAAAGTCAAAGGTTTTTTTGTGTTTTGTTTTTTTTTTTTAAACAGGAGGTGCCTCCTCTCTCCTTGTAACTTAACTTTCTGAGCATTTTCTATTTCAGAGGAGGGAACTAATGTTGACCATTTCTCTGTGGACACTAGGTGGCAGTAGAGAAAAGAGTAAAATGTCTCTGGCTGGTTCGCCTAAGATTAAAGAGCATGAAGTCAGCCAGGTGTCTCTTCCCAGAGATGGGTGGATGGGTGAGCAGCTGTTTGTTTTCTGCTGTCAACAGCTGGAAGGAGGAAGAGCTGTTGGGCGACCGAGCCAGTCTCCCTCCATCCTTCTCACACTCAAGTATCTCCCTGCTGTACTGTGTCTTCCACTTGTGCCCCCTCCGCTGTGGTTTTTTTTTTTTTTTGGTTTTTCAAGACAGGGTTTCTCTGTGTAGCTTTCCTGGAACTCACTCTGCAGACCAGGCTGGCCTCGAACTCACAGAGATCCACCTGGCTCTGCCTCCTGAGTGCTGGGATTAAAGGCGAGCGCCGCCACCACCACCCGGCGCCCCTCCGCTCTAACACAGGGAGCTGGATAATTATAAGATGTATTTAACATTCCTAAAACTACAGCTAGAGGACTGATTATAGGCACATATAACAACACTCGGGAGACACGGGAGTTTGACACCAGCTTGTGGTGCATAGCCGTGGAGAGATCAGTCCCCAGAACAAAACCAGGCCAGCAAGCTGGCTCAGCAGGTAAAAGCATCGCAGCCCAGCCGGGCATCCCGTCACTGGGACCCGCATGGTGGAAGCGAAGAATCAATCTCACAAATTCTCTTCAAGCCTCTTGCACACGTCCCATGGTGCAATCACGTGTGTAGGTGTGCATGCGCTCGCGCGTGCGCGCGCGCACACACACATAAAAATAAAATGTAATCATTATAGCTACAGCTGTGCCCACCAAGCCTGAGTAATTTTAAATGAATTCTGCTCTTCTTGCCAGGGGCTCAGCCTACCATTAGGAGTCGTGTCTGATGTCTCTGTCTCCCAGATGGGTCTCTCGAAAGCACTTTAGACCCAGCCTCGTGGTTTTCGCTGATTTCTTCACTCTTTGTAATTTGGCCTCTGTCAGCCTCAGTCTCCGTCTTTTTCCTGACCCTGTGCTTTGGCTCATCTGTACCACGCCTGCCCTCTGCCACTGTACGGGGAGACTCTTTGCTCATCTGTACCATGCCCGCCCTCTGCCACTGTACCGGGAGACTCTTTATCTCACCCTGCCTCTGACTTGTTTTCTAAAGTTGGGTTTGTTCTTTATTTTGTGTGTGGAGAAGTTGTGCTGAGCTGTATCTCCTCCTTAAGTGTCCTCTGTCGATGAGCAGTCAGCTGGCATTTTCTTCTGGCCCCTAAGTGCACAGTGCTGGTACCATTGTTTGCTATAAAGCCCTGCCATCCGTATTGTCGTCCTTGGTTCACGTCTTGGCATTGAGGGTGACTGGATTTTATTTGGCACATTTGGGGGCCTTTGAATTTAGAAACAACTTCCCTCAGAGGTAGTCATCAATCCAGAAAATCATCCCCTTTTCTCTGTAATTTTAATACATACATATTTTCAAACCTATAGTTAAAGATTGTTTCTGCTTTGAATGGTCAGGAACTTGTGGATAAGTTGGATTGAATTGAGTATATTTTCCGTAACTTGTCTTTTTATTTCATATAAAAAAAAACCTTGAGATGTGTCCATAACATGAACTGACACATGTGTATGTGCTCTGCTTATATTTCACTGCTGTGTGTATCGTAGTGACTGCATTATAGGCATTCCCCACAGTGTAGTCCACGGTCCGCGCTGACACACCGAGCTCTCTGGTTCTTCCAGTGGTGTTATTTCCATTTTCACGTTTCTCAGGAATAATGCTGCTCAGCCCCTCTTGAGATGCTCATTAGCCCTCAGGTGTTTCACTCCCGGAGATTTTTTTCCATAGACTTTATATTCATTATGATCTCCACATCAGGTGTGATCACAGACATGTCGTGTGTGTGTGTGTGTGTGTGTGTGTGTGTGTGTGTGTGTGTGTGTGTGTGTGTGTGTGTGTGTCCCGGCCTTACAGTTTGCTTTTGCAGTTTTTCAGATGCCCTTCTCTACCTCTGGCTATAATAAAGATCTTACTTGTTTGTTCTGGCTTATCTACAGCTTGAACATCACATTTGGGTTCTACTTAACCCCTGCCTACCCTTCCCAGCAGGGATCCATGAACCTCGTCAGTCTTTAGACCTGTGGGTCCCCTTGTCCGTTAATGAAGGTAGCCATTGTGTCTCACTGTGTTTATCTCCCATAATGCACCTTGCTTCTGAACTGTCTAGTACACTTTCTGTTTACTTGAGACTTCTTCAATGTCAACAGAAGTGTTAGGCTTTCCCGTGAATTCTCTTCAGTTTTATAGTATTTGATGGGTCCATATTTTAACTTCATGTTGAAATCCATTTGGGTTTGTGTGTTGGTTGGGGCTAGTAGTGCCCTTCAGGTCTCTTAGTGGGGCTGAGGTCTCAGCAGTAGATTCTGATTATTTTTCCAGAGGTAATTGCCCATTTCTGAATGAAAGTTTTTTCCTTCCCTCTGATTCTTACATCTTAACATTTTATTTCTTTTTCTCATTTTAATGTACTGGCTAGGATTTTTTTCTGCATCTCTTGAGGTGGGTCTTTCTACTTTAATATTCCTATGTAAGTAAATTACGTTGCTTTTATAGTGTGAAAATAACTATTTCTGGCTTATGTTCAACATAGTCAATATCGTGTACATTAGTAGATTTAGTGAATTCATATTTTGCCAATATTTGTGTGCTTGTCAGTGAATATATGCTTTATTTCTAGACTATATTAAGAATACTAGTTGGGTTTTTTTTACCAATAGTATTTGGTTTCTTGTGATAGAAGGTGTTACATTAACTTATTTTGTGTATGCACACAGATTAATCCCAAACTTGAGGTGATGGATTTGCAGAGTTGTTCTCCCCCTGTCGTGGACGTCCTTTCTTTTGATTCTACCACAGTAAGTTCTTTTTAACTTAAGCAGTGCTCAGTTAGTTATCACAGCCTATTTCCTTAAAAAGTGTGTGAGACGGGGGATAAAACGTGGCTTGAGTAACCTCGCATTTCAGCCTAGCAAGGCTTGGCACAAGTCATTTTTAAGTTTCTAAAGAGCCACCAGAGGGAGCAGCAACCGTTTCCGAGCATCTCTTCCTTTGAGGCCTCTAAACTCGGTCTAACTCACCCTCCCGCTCCTGCCCCTGGGATATTACACAGTTGTTGTGGCGTAGACTGCCTGCTTTGTCGTCTTTCGGAGACGCTTGCCTTCTAGATTTGCCTTTCGAAGCTCTAAGGACGTCAGTTCCTTCCCTTTGTTTTTGTTACTCTTGATGGATTATCCAGAAAGAAGGTCTCCCTAATACTTGCAATTTTGTTTATAGAAAGTATCTGATATTTTGCATACTGGCTGTCTGAAGGCTTCGGAATCAGAGCCTGAGCCTTTTACCTTCTGCATCTGCTCGTCCTGGTACACAAATCACGGGTCCCCCTCCCTGCTCATTGCACGCGCCTTGCTATGGGAACAGGAAGTGAGTGCAGTGTTGTCCTGGACAGCACTATTGCTAAGCTGTCCGTTTAGTTCCATATTGTAGGTGAAATTTTAAAGAAACACGGCCTGACATAGAGTAGATGCCCAGAATAGTATCGACTGCAGCGGAGTTCTGCCGGTACCGGGAAGTACTCCAGTTATGAACTCTTCTCAGCATTAATGCTCAGCAGAGGACATTCTTCCCATGGGACATTGTGGTGACAAGAACCACATGGTGGCAACCAGGAGCTCCTTGCCAGAGGGAAAGCCGGACTCAGCTGGTGAAGCTGGTCTGTGCACTCAAAGCGCTCATGTACACCAGCATTTCTGCATGAATGAATGGCTTGTCAAATTAAGCACTAACTAGCCACCTGAAATTTGCCACTGTGCTCTCCCTATAGTAAGTCTTCAATGAATTTGTCACAGCATATGCCATTGACCTTATACATTCCAGCGAGTTGAGTGTTTTGTCCTGTAGATAGGTAGGTTGTGACATGACTCCCTCCTTGTGACATGTCCAGCAGACTAAAATTTAGTGTTCCTGACCTAGAAACTATCTCAGATCGTTAAACATTTTTGTTCTACTTATTGAGACACGGGCTTCCTGCCAGTAACCTTTAACCTTTGCAAAGACTCCTGGCTTGAGATCTCTCAGCAGTCTCAAGAGTTTGCTGTGAAGGATGGGCCTGTTACCAGCTAGGGCAAAGGGTGTCTGTCCCTTGGAGGTAACCCCGGAGATACCAGAGGCAACTAGTTTACAAGGCATCCATGAGACTTTGAAAAGGAGTTCTGGGTAACAGACATGACAAGGTTGACAGTTATTATAAAACACAAATAAGATTGAATTCTACATTATCCACAAGAAGGAAACATTAGCCTGGATTATGTGAAACTGCCTTTTTTTTAAAAGACAAAAAACAAAAAAAAAAAACAAAGCCAGTCTAACATCAGTGACTTCACTTTACAAGAAACATTTCAGAGAATTGATTTTAAAAGTCCTGATGCCAAACCCTACGGCACTTGTCTCTAATCTTAGAGTTTGGGAGTCAGAGGCAGGAGGATTTTGAGTTTCAGACCACCATGAGTTATATAGTAAGACTCTATGCCAGAAGACAAGGGCTGGAGATGTGTCGGCAGGAACTTGCCTAGCACATGGAAGGCACACTAACGTGAGACTTAGCTATCCTCCAATAGAGAAGAAATTAAGGCATGCGGTATCTTTGTGGTTTACACTTCTGTCTCTAATGTCTGGCGGAAATTTTGATATAATATTTGGGGGATCAAAATAAACTGAGAGATCTCAAAAGCTTGATTATACCAAAAAAAAAAAAATATGTTTCTCTGCAAAAGATTGGTCCTGGATATCATATAGGCCTGGTTTTAAAATGTTGATCTTCTCAAATGCCTTAGTCTTTATTTTGATTATATCAAGTCTCTTATTATATAGTTTTCTGGCTTTTTAAAGAATCTTTTCTTCAGGATTCTGGTTTGAACCTTAGTATTTTCATAAACCTAGACCAAGATTCTGACATCAAACTTTGAATTAGGGGTGGCTGGGATATGGCTCAGGAGTTGAGATTAGCATGTTTGAACTCGTGATTCCATCCCTAACCTGGGACAAGACTGTACTAAGGAAAAAAAAAAGTCTGGGCGTTGGTGAGGCACTCTGGAGGCAGAGGCAGGTGGATCTCTGAGTTCAAGGCCAGCCTGGTCTAAAGATCGAGTTTCAGACTGGCACCAAAACTACACAGAGAAACCCTGTCTCGAAAAAAAAAAAAAAAGATTGTCTTTAGGCATTTAGCATTAGCCACTGATGATGTAGCTACACAGGGTGTCCCAGATCCTCTTCACCACTCTCGTTAAATAGAATTAAAATTGAAGGTGTTTGTTGGGACTAAAGAGAGGGCACTGTCTGTATACTGCAGGCCATGTAAGCAGGAGGTCTGTATTCCCAAACCCAAGCATCAGCTGGGCGTGGTGGTGAGAGCCAGTGATCCAGGGCAGAGGGGAGGCTAGATGTGTGGATCCTCTGGGCTCAGGCAAATTACAGTCTGAAGTTTTAACATATTAGCTTTATTACTTGTCCTACAGGTAGGTGAACAAAATGCAGTTAGCGCTCTTACAGTTGTTCTTCTGAAGAACAAGAATCCAAACACAGGCTTCTCCTCAAAGAGCTGAGAAATGTCTTTACCTTTATCCCGGCCACGATGTGTGCGTAAATGTAATGCATGTGCCTTTTTTTTTTTTTTTTTTTTTGGTTTTTCGAGACAGGGTTTCTCTGTGCAGCTTTCGAGCCTGTCCTGGAACTCACTCGGTAGCCCAGGCTGGCCTCGAACTCACAGAGATCCGCCTGGCTCTGCCTCCTGAGTGCTGGGATTAAAGGTGTGCGCCACCACCGCCTGGCGCGTATGCCTTTCTTTAGAGCTAGGGACAGCATTGCAGGTCACATTAGTTATTTATAATAAAGACAGGCTTCCTAGAGAAGCATTTGCAAGGTGCTACCTTGAGGTAGTGCAGTAGCACTCGCCCTCAGCCGATGAGAACAAGGTCATAGTGGAGGGAACGAATGGTCAGCTTCAGCGTTCTTCATGTCAAGGACAGGTTGGTAAGGGCGGTGTTCCAGAAGAGGTTCTTAGTCGCCTGGAGATGAGAACAGAGGACTTTTCCAGGAGAAATCAGCCCTTAGCCTGAGCAGAGATGGGTAGGATTCTTTTTTTTTTTACTAGAATATTTCAGGTAAGCAAAGCAAAGTTTAGTATATTCCTTTAAAGTGTTTGAAGATGTGCACCATGATAATAAAATGCACAGTAATCTACTTCTGGATATCTCTTTTTCTCCTTCACTCATAACACACACACACACACACACACACACACACACACACACACACACACACACCACACTTTCTTTCCTCCCTTCCTGAGGTGTGGCTTTGTAGTTCTGGATGTCCTTAAACTTGTGACTGACTGCCTTGCCTCGCTCGGCCCTTTCCCTCTGCACCTGGCTAGTTTGGGTTCTTTGCATTGCCTTACCCAACAGATGGCAGATGGGACTGAATCCTGGAAGGATGCCCACTCATATACATCCATGCCTCTCAGTAAATATTTATCAAGGAGCTATTGTTCCGTATTGCTCCCCCTTCTTGGTTTGAAAGAAATGAGAAGAAAACAGTCAATTAAAACCTGTCCGGAAAAGCTCCGTTCTACATCCTAGTCAGGGAAACAGGCAAGTCTCAGATTAAACAGATAAAGTTTTTAGGATAGTGGATCAAAACTACCCCACAAAAGTGAAGAAAAACACAGACGGCTTTGGACAGTAGCTAAAGCTGCAGGAGTGTAGTCAAGACACCTGCCACGCCAGGTGTGGTGGCGCACGCCTTTAGTCCCAGCTCTTGGGAGGCAAGGCCGGTGGATCTTTGTGAGTTCGAGGCCAGCCTGGTCTACAGAGTGAAGTCCAGGACAGCCAGGACTGTTACACAGAGAAACCCTGGAGAGAGAGAGAGAGAGAGAGAGAGAGAGAGAGAGAGAGAGAGAGAGAGAGAGAGAGAGGAGAGTGCTGTCCCATGGCAGGTGCCATCTGGGGAAGGAAGTCCTGCAGGGGCAGTGGGAACAGGGCAGTAACTAGAAAAGTAAGGAAGCCACCTCGGGCAGTGGCGTCTTGACACAGACAGGCTCCGGGGAGGTGGTGATGGACGGCAGGGCTCTGAAGACATTTTGAAGCTTGAGCCAAGAGGATTTCCTGACAGATTGAATGTCTGCTGTGGGATTCCCTATCTCCTCTCCTAGGGGACAGTGAGGTGTAGCCCTGAATAGTCTCAGGGCAGCTGGGAATATCTTCTGACTCAGTCTCATCTTGACAAAGAGCCATGAATGGAAAAATAATTTTGGTGTTCTTGTCTTGGGCCCTAGAATCGGGGAAAGGCGATTCTCTGCTGTCTCTGTGACTTTGGGAAGTCACTGCTGCATGTCATTTAGAGTCACAATTCTCAGCAAAGTGTATGGGCTTCTCTTTTGCCAAGATTTTGACCTCAGCCTATTAGAGGGAAGAGAAGTTTGCCCACTTTCATGGACCATATGGTACATACTACCTACCAAACAATGTTGTATTGACACATATGTGGACACAGGGAGAGTAGACTTGCAGACAGAATTATTTCCACGGGTGTTGTGGCAACAGTACATCCTGGTTACCAGACAACATTGTGTAACTAGTTCAGAGTTATTTCAGTTCCTAACTGCTTATGTAAGCAAAGATTGGGAAGGACTTATTTGAAAGAACACAGTGTCTGCAAATTTAAATGTCTCTAAACTAAAATGTATATCTTTGACAGCTTAAAATGCACGTGCAGGCTGGAGAGATGGCCCAGTGGTAAAGAGCAGGGGCTCTTTCAGAGTACCCAGGTTCAAGTCCCAGCACCCACATGGCAGCTAACAACT